GCACTTGAAATAATAACAAGTTGGTTCATGAATATGCATATTAAATTATGTGTGTATGTATGTGCATACGTACTCCCAGCTTTTATGGGGCAGCAGCATGCGTAATTAAATAATTAATGGCAGCGAAAATAATATAATGTTTACGCAATCTTCATAATAATGATGCGAATAGTAATGGTGATGAGATGAAATTAAACATTTGTTATAATTTTTCAAAATTTAGTGGCAAAGGAATGTCAATTAAATTGTTTAAAAAAGACATTTAAATTGTCGTTTGATATGACGAAGTTAACATGTACATTGTGAAAAAAACATTAATGAATATTTAATAATTGATATTTATTCCCTTATTTCATAATTCCTTAAAACCATCTATTTTTGAAAGCAAATTCATCATTTCTCTCTCTTTGATCCTTTCGGTGGTTAATTATTAGTTGCTATTAACTCCATTAATATGACAACTTACCATGTGACCATGTACCCTAATATATAACAATAACTCACCACATCACTTCGTCTCTCCATCCTTCTCAGAGTACTTTGCGAAATCTCACACTCTGCCATCAGTTAACAGTTACTGTTATGGGACGTTTATATATATGAGGGTTAACCCACTGGATTTGGATTTAAATTGTCATATCCATTACTTTTACTTCAAATAAATCCTCTCAAAGTAGGTTAACCTTACAAAAAGTTCTAACGTAAACATGGCATTAACTTCGTTAATATGACAACTTATCATGTGGCCACGTACTCTAATATTTAACAATAACTCACCACAACAGTTCGTCCCTCTCTCCATCCTTCTCAGAGTACGTTGTGAAAATAATGAGAGATGAGTGATTGATGACAACGGAAAATTAACAAAGGCAGTTAGTGTGTAACGTAACGTATATAACGTAACGAAGTAATTTAAATTAATTTCTTTATGAAATAAATAATTCGTAACTAATTAATAGGAAATAAGGACAAAGGTTACGAAAATAACCAAAGTTCGTTTACATTGAAGTAAGTTACAGTTATAGTTGTTGTCTTCAGCTAACATTTTATAAATTCTACGTCAAATTATGTCCTTTACTTATTTTACAAAGTAATTGTAGGAAAAACATACAAAATAATATAAAAGCTACTTTTTCCAGTCCCATATTGTCAACATGATCTCCTCCTTGGTACTTGTTCTTATTTTTAACAAACCATTTTTATCTTTTTTTTTTTTTTTTTTTTTTGGAGAAATCTATTTTTGTCAGTTTTTGTTTTTAAATGCTTTTCTTTGGTATTCCAATCTTGTGGCTCGGCTGGCCTGTGCGAAATGTTTTAATAGAATTCTCCGCATACACACATCTATAAACATTTTGCTTCTAATGTGTATACTCGTTTTTATTTTATTTATTTTTTGAAAAAAAAAAAAAAAAAAAACAAATATCACATTGGCATACATATAAATTTTCGTATTGTTTTGCAATAACACAACACACAGGCATAACATTTGATTGAAAGCAATAGCATGTTCTGAGATATTTAGCAACGGAAAAGAATAGCAAAATTAGTGTTAAATTCCAGCAACAACAAAAATACAATGTGCTATTAACAACTTTAAAATGTGATACTTAGTTCAACAAACTTGCAACATTAACCTTGAAAAACTTTTTAATTGCGAAAATTTTGGGCAAAAAATATTTGCAAAAATTTGTATCAAATTTTTCCATTTCTCCCTCCTTAAAGTTTGTAAACAGATTCGCAGGGGCTCCTCTCCAACAGCCATATAATAGAATTCGTATCGAATTTATTTTAAAACAATAAAATGTAAACTATTTTAAATCGAACAAAATGTGTCGAAGCACCAACAAACGCCTATTTCACACCTGCTTTCGTTTGATCTCATCCGAAAAATAATCAACAATTAAGCTAAAATAATTCCCAAAAGAATTTTAGAAATCATTTCACTTCATTAAAACCAAAAACGGTGTGATAATCACAGCTCATCGCATTTGCCCATGTTTGTATAAAATAACATGACGCTATAATAATTGTTTGTCTGTGATATGTGTCAGATGTGTCTGTGTATATTCAATAAAAGATGAACTTTCTTAATTTTCTTTTCCGTTTTCATTGACACATTTGGCATGGCTGTACGCCCACACGACATACTACTTAGAGGGGTTGGTGGTGTCATCATCATTCAAAGACATTGGATGTACTGACATGATGACGAATGCATGGCGCGAGGGCTTCCCGTTTCTAGAAAGTCAAAAAGTGTCATCATCATCGATAGGATCGAATCATTGGCGGCACTGGGGTTTTCCACAATTTACAAGTATCACCACCATATTCACCTACCTATGTAGTCCGTCCCCTCCTACTAGGACATATTGCCAAATGCCTTCTTTTGCAAATTCTCATTGTTCTTATTCCATTGTATGTTGCTTTTTGTTTTATTTTGCCCACTTTACGTTTGGCCTGTGAACAATACATGTGTTTGTATGTCTGTATTTTGTAACAGTGATTGTTCTTTTGCTTTGGTTTTTTTCGGTTTTTCTTGTTTCTTTTTCATACCGCTACTTGAAAATAAAAAGAAAAAAAAAAAAAAAACAAAAGAAAACTTAATACACTTACTCATTATCGAAAGTTCAATTACCTGTATGCTTAGTTTAGTGCTGCTACTTATATTACACTATAATGCCGCCTGACATACAATTTATCGGCGTCGTTGTCATTATAGTTGTCGCCGTTGTCATCAACATCATATGAACGTCATGTATTGTTGTTGCTTTCGTTGTTTTGCATTTAAGCACCACTCACCACCACCGCCATTACTTGACATGTGTTTTACATTTCATTTAACTGTTACAATGGTTGTGGGGTGAGTATAGTATACCAGGCTCCCCTAGTTCTATTCTCTCTCACACTAACACTAAACATTCTCTCCTCCCCCACCCATCAATCAGTCAACCGTTAAAATAATCAACATTAACCATCTTTGCTCCAACCATTCAATTGTCACATTAAAAAAAAGACGGGAAAATTTAGTTTTTGTTTTATATTTTACTTTCGCTGCTTGCTTACCTGTGCTCTTCTCAATTGTTATTGTAATTTGATGTAGTGTTGTGGCCCTTGTGTCACATAGCCAGTCAGTGTAATTTATTACCATATATTTGTCATTTCTATGCAATTTATGAATAGAAAAACATGCAAAGTAACTAAGCAATTGCATTGCATTGTTGTGTGATTTGTAATTGGAATTTTTGTCACGCCGGTAATGTGTGTTTTAAGTTTACATGCTATTTTATGTTGATGTGCCGGGAAGTGTGAATAGAAATTTTTAAAAAAGGCGGAAGACTGTTGGAAAGATAAAAAATGGGATATTTCAATTGCTGATGTTGAATAGAAAATAATTATTAGGTCTGTCTGATTACTTTCCTTCCATAAACTTTTTTCTCGGGGAGTAAAACAGTTTGATTCCAATTTATAAGAAAACTGCAAAAAGTAAACAGACATTATCCCTGGGAAGACCTGCCGATGGAAGACCAGCTGATTTGTAAAGATTGTGGATAGCCAGAGGAACCTATTATTGTGCCTCGGCAAAAAATCTAACAAATAGATATAGGTGTGTTTAATATGCTATCCAGCCGGTGAACCAAGATTATTAAATAATTGAAATTGCTATTTTTATTTCTTATTTAAACTGATTGATAAACATTATTTGGTATTCTATATCATTTGAATTATTTTTGTTTTATAGTAGGAAAAATGTTATTAAAAATAACCCAGAAGGGTCATACACCAATATTTAAAATATATTATTCCAAAACTTTGCTTAGAAAATGTCTTCGCTCTCCCTTAAAATTTTTATTTCGTGGGTTATTTTTACATATTTTTTTTATCACTTCCTTCCGCCTTGATGTTGTCACAAAATTTCCTACAAAATATTGCCTTAAATAAACCTCTTCTACTTTGGGAATTACCCTTTATTTGTCTATTCTATTAATTTCACATTATTTTTTCCAAAGATATTCCCTTTTGATTTGCCAATATTTTATTAATTTTAATGAGGGTCCCCATCAATGTACTGAGGACTCTTCTTCTTTTTCTTTGTAAAATACAACAACTTTCTCTAAAAACTGCACTTTTTATAACAAAAAGTGTCATTCCCCCCTACCCACTCCTCATTCATCCACTTGAAGTCTTCCCTTTTTTTCATTCTCTCCCACTTGCCATGGCCTTATGGCTTTTCCTGTGTTTTATTTTAAATTTCTCTCGCTCTTGATTCTTTTTCATTGTATGAAAATGAAAATAAATGGGGGAGTGGGGGGAGCAAGTAGAAAAAACATGCTCAATTATTTTTTTTATTTTAGTTGTTGCTGTGCCTCCTGCTTTTTTGTTTTTCCATTTGAATGTTGAGGTCATAGCTTAATTATGTACAATGAAATTCGGGAGAACAAAAGTGTGGCCCAACCACAGAGAGAGCTAGGGAGAGAGAGAGAATTTTTGTGTGCTCCACTGTGTATTAGAAGTGGTTGCTTGAATTGCTGTTTTTCGTTATTTGGGGGGTGGTTGAATGATGTCGTCGGGCGGCGTTGGTGTTTTCCCGTTGTTAGTGGCAATGGTTTGTTGTTAAGTGTGCGTGTGTGCATATGTGTGTCTCGCCGTGTTAGACAAACACCCACCCCATAACACCCCAAAATAAATGCAATTCTCTTTTCATAAGGTTTGCTAGTTCTTCCGTATTTCCTCTCACTCTCTTTGATTTCAATTTTTGTACGGGAGTTTTTCTTTTTCTTGCTCTCTCTCTCTCTTCCCTGGCGACTCTCGTTGTTTTTGTAGTTTAACTATGATGACGACACTTTTTCCATCATCATATAGACGCCAACTAACTTAGAGACAGGGTGTGTGTTTTGTAATAGTTAGCCGAAAAATTCTATTAAAATAAATATTTCCTTTTAGAAGATATATAAATTAAATATTTATAATAAATCTTTTTTACATTTCGTTTTCCTTTGCAGAAAAGAATTTGCTCTTTTAAGGCTGTACAGTTTGTCGTTGGGTGTGTTGCGTTGTGTGTGAGTGCAGTAACAATCCGTTTTGCAAGCCACCTTTTCTAAAGGAAGAAGCAAAGAAAAAAAGGAAGACACGGCGCCGTTTATCATCATCCATCATTAGCCCACAGGATTTCCTTCAAAAATGACTGAAGTTGAGCAACCTCCACAGAATGGCATTGATTTGTCAGCCAATGAAGATGATGACAATAGCAAAGCTCGGCCAGCTGATATAGAACAGGTAAAGGTCCATTGGTCGGCCGACCTCTATTGATTTTTCCAATTTTTTTTATCAATTCATTATTCTTTTTTTGCCATAGGATATGCGCGAAATGGAACGACGCAAACGTGTCGAGGCAATTATGGGTTCCAAACTCTTCCGTGAAGAGTTGGAGCGTATTGTTGATTCAGCACGTGATAGTGGTAATGCTGATGGCATTTTACAACAGTTATCCGATATTGTGGGTGTACCAGCCACGCGTGTGGGCAGTGTATTCCGGGCCTCCAATTGCATGCAACCCATCAATGATATTAGGGGTGTGGAATCCATGGGCTATGCCAAGGGTGAAAAGATTCTACGTTGTAAATTGGCTGCCACATTCAGATTATTGGATTTGTATGGCTGGACCCAGGGTTTGGGTGCCCAAATTACAGCACGCCTTAAGGTGGATCAGGAATACTTTTTGGTTAATCCATATGGTTTGTTGTATCATGAGATTACTGCCTCCTCGCTGAACAAGGTGGATATGCAGGGCAATATTGTGGAACAGGGTACCACAAATTTTGGTGTTAACAAAAGTCGTGAGTATTTTAAAAAGGATGGGGGACTAAGAGATGCAATGACATAAATTGTTTTCCTATTTTGTTATAGATTTTGTGCTTCACTCCATTGTCCATGCCGCACGTCCCGACATCCGTTGCATTATCTACATTGGCTGTAGCCCTGTCGTGGCCATTTCATCCCTGAAAGCTGGCCTATTGCCTTTAACAAAAGATGCCTGTGTCTTGGGCGAAATCACCAGCCATGCCTATGCCGGTTGCCTGGTCGATCAGGATGAACGCGAAAAATTGGTACGCAATTTGGGTCCCAACTCAAAAGTCATGCTGTTGACCAATCATGGTGCCTTGTGCTGTGGTGAAACCATTGAAGAAGCCTTCTTTGCCGCCTGCCACATTGTCCAGGCCTGTGAGACACAATTGAAGCTACTGCCTGTTGGTTTGGACAATTTGGTATTGATACCCGAAGAGTCGCGCAAAACCATTTACGAACAGTCTCGTAGTCCACCCGAGGATTTGGCCAAGAAGTTTGCCGCCGCTGCTGCCGTTACTACAGCGGGAGATTCGAATAAAGCTGCAGAAGAGGAAGATAAAAAGGAAGGCGAAGAGAAATCGGCAACCACCAAGGTTTTGGGTCAAACACCAAAATGGCGTGTGGGTGGAGCTGAATTCGAGGCATTGATGCGTATGCTGGACAATGCTGGCTATCGTACCGGCTACATATATCGTCATCCATTGATTAAATCGGAACCACCAAAACCCAAAAATGATGTGGAACTACCGCCAGCCGTCTCATCATTGGGTTATTTGCTTGAGGAGGAAGAACTTTTCCGTCAAGGGTAAGTGGGGGGGTAAGGGAGAGTATGGAAGAAATGAATATTTAAATTAATCTGGATTCCGGATATTGTTTTTGTTTTTAGCATTTGGAAAAAGGGCGTTGCAGGCAAGGGTGGTGATCGCAGCCGTTGGCTTAACTCACCCAATGTCTATCAGAAAGTGGAAGTCTTGGAAACCGGCACACCAGATCCCAAAAAGATTACCAAGGTAGAGATAATAACATTTGAAGATAAAACACAAACAAAAGACAATTAGAATTAAGAATTAACAAAGAAGAAGAAAAACACGACAAAAATAATGACAAGATTTTTTTTGATTTAAAATATATTTTATTTAACAAAAAAGTGGGGCTAAAATGAAAAAAAAAAATTAAAATTTTTATTTTAGCTTTCATCTTTGAGCTTTTTAACACCAAAATTATATGCAACACATTCCTTGGAAGTCGATCAGAGAACAATTTCATTGAAGACAAATTATGGAAAGGGGAAAATTACCCTTTTATTCTTCTTTAATGAAACCTGCTCTGTGTGACTTCCGTTTTATTGTTTTGTCTTTCCTTTATTTATGTATTTATGCAAAGCACAAAATATTTTTGTTGATTTTTTTCTTTGAATTCAAAATGGTATATTCCTTTATTTTAAGTATTATTTTATTAAGTTGAATATGTTTTCCGAAACTAGTCTCTGTTTTAACTAAAGAAAAAAACGTTAATTTTGTTTTGCTGCCATAATTTTTTGTTCTAATGGAGGGGAGTTTATGACCCTCTTAATCTTTGTGTTTTTTTTTTTTAACTAAATATTTCTTAGCTTAAAACTAGAAAAATATTGAAAACAAAGAAAACACACACACTTAACATGCAAATTAAAAACTGTAGCTTTTATTAACAATTTGAATATCATCGATTCTTCTACCTATATCAACATCAATTCCAATTACCACAACCTTAACCAAAAAAAAAAAAAAAAAAATAATTGCAAAATTTTTATAACGCCCTCCTTAGAAATTGAAAAAAAAAAAACAATCTAAAGAAAATTTAAATAAAATAATATATAAAATATTTGCGCTGCTTTGTATGTCGTCGTCATATATATACCCCTATATAACCCTTTTTCACATACACATATATTAAACAGAACGATATTATATACATTACTATGTAATAGCAATTAAACAAAAAGAATATATTCAATAAAAAACAATGTGTAGAAACTTGCGCAATGTTCTCTATGTGAAAGTAAACTAAAAAAACATTATATTACTAAAAAAAAATATGAATGGATAATAATTTTGTGCCTTGTAAGGAATCCAAGTTTCTCTCTCATAACAATCACAACAGAAGGAACCACAATGAATTTGGGATATTTCTTTCGATTTTACACTACGTTTTCTCAATGGGTTCTCTTAGTGCTATATTTGTTGACCAACCAAATTCCTTTCTTCAATTCAACCACCCACCCTTTCCCTATCCAATGTGAAAGAGAAAGAAAAAACGTTTAATTTTTGTAATTGGTTACCTAAAAAAAAAATTGGAAATGTATGGATTTAGCTTAGAAAGGGATATATTTTAGATAATAGAATTTCGTTTAGAACTACATTTTTCTATACAGAATACATATAAAGAAGTTTAAAAAAATTATCAATCCGATCTAACATTCTTCCATGGAAAAGTTTCCTCATGAAAAAAATGTTTTCTGTGCAAAATGGTCTCAAGATATGGTCTTCATATCAGGAGAACATTACTCTATAGAAAACATTATTTTATCGTAAACGTGTTCTTAAAGTTATACAGATAATCTAATAGAATATATTTCTACATAGCTTGACTTCAAAACACCATGTTTTATTAATATAATATAATGGATAATTAATTTTAAGTAAAGACCCTTTTAGAACTCAAATTTACAGAAAAAAAATCATTTTTAAATTTAATTTCATAAAATCGAGTAAAAAAACAAAATTTGAATAGAATAAAGGTTTAGAGTTCCATTCCATTTTGCATCTCTTTTATAGAAAATGTTTTTCATCCATACTACGGAAATGTATAGCATATTTTGAACTGGAAATGAGTTTTACTTTAAGAAAGATAGTGGTAAATGCTAGTTAAATGCTGCCGACGTAGACTTCTTTGACATAATCCTCAAAAATACACTTTAAGCAGCTTATGTTCAACATAACCTCAAATAATTGATTCAATAAAATATTTAGTTTTTCTTTTTAGATATTTTTTCACTTAATTTCAATAATTTCCTATAATTTATACACATTTTTGCATAAAAATTTGAATTATCTGGAAATTTTCTGTAATTATATTTGAGGTTATGTCGAAGTTTGTTTTTAACGTTCCCAAAAAGTTTTTACATATATTAGCAAAAAATGACATAATACATAATATATATGTCATAAAGGTGTTGAAATTCACTTCCACATAAGTTAGTTAATGTTTTTTTTTTTTTTTTTTTTTTTTGAGGTTATGTCGAAGTTTTTTAAGTTCCCAAAAACTTCTTACATATATTAGCAAAAAATGTCATAATACATGATAACTATGTCATAAAGGTTTTGAAATACACTTCCACATAAGTTAGCTGCTTTTTTATATTTTTTGAGGTTATGTTTTGAGTTTTTCAATTTTTCTTCGTTACCCTTCGTTAAAAATGAACTCAAATAGTATATTTAAAAAAAAATTGATTTTGTCATTCAATTTCAATGATTTCCTTTAAGTCTTAACAATTTTCCATAAAAATTTGAATAATTACCACTTTTTTTTTTTTTTTTTTTTTGAAAATGATATTTGAGTTTATTTTTCAATTTATTTTTACGATATCAAACAGATCTTTCATATATATGCAAAAAAGATTCCTAATACATGATAAATATGTCAAAAAAGATTTAAAATGTACTTCCACGAAAGATAGTTGCTATTTTCTTTGAGGTTATGTTAGAATTTTTGAGGTTATATATAAGATTCAATATGTAGATGATATACCTTTTTAATATGTGCTCCCATTTGTCATTTGTTTCAATCCATTTGTTTTTTTTTTTTTTTTTAATTATATTTGAGGTTATTTTCAATTTATATTTACGTTATTAAAAAGATCTTGCATATATATGCAAAAATATTCCTAATACATGATAAACATAAGATGGATGCTTTTTTTTAATTTTTGAGGTTATATATAAGATTCCACAAGTAAATGTTATACTCTTTTCTTCCATTTGTCATATTGCATAATTTTCCTGGATGTCTGTTTTAGGCTATCTTCCCAAGCTTGACAATGTAGTTAAGATTTTGCAAAAATTATGTTTTGAGGATATGTTGAAAAATTTTACATTTTTTTGTGATATTGTATTTATTGGTATAATATCTTAAGAATTTACAAAAAGTATTGATGATTTTGTTAAGATTTTACAAAATTATTTTTTGAGGTTACGGGGAAAAATTTTAAAATTTTTTGGATATTGTATTTTATTGGTCTAAAATCTTAAGAATTTACAAAATAGCATTCCAATTTTGTTGTATTGCTTTTTTTAGGCTATTTTCCCAAAAGATTGATGATTTTGTTAAAATTTTACAAAATCCTTTTTTGAGGTTATGTGGAAAAATTTTACAATTTTGTTTATTTATTTTTTTTTTGTTTTATTATTTTGTTTTATTATTGTGTTTTTTCTTAAGAAAAATCTTAAGAACTTACAAACAGCTTTCCAAGTATTGTGTATATCTTCAATTTTTAGGTTATTAAGGTTAGGATTTTAAGGTTATGTAAAAAAACTATTATTTAAAGAAGTTTTAATTACCGGTCATAGTTAAAATTATATTGTTAGCGACATTTTTTATGTAATATTTTTTTTTATTTCAATGTCATTTAATTATCTGTCTTTTTTGCATGTTTCTTTTCTTATCATACGCTTGATATTTCTAAATCTCATCCTATATCGATATGCGAATAAAAAGACTTTTCTCATTTATATATAGGACACATATTTGGATAGTTAACTATTTCGAAAAATAATTTGAAATTTATTGCAAGAGGAGGGGAAGGTTCAGAAACAAATCTTCTCTTTAAGACCTTTGGAAAAGGAATAAAATTTTTCCCACCGAAAGAAAGTAACGAATGTTCTCAAGCTTTAAACTGTAACTCCGATTAAAAGACTCCAAACGAAACAGTCTTGGATAGGAAAAATCAGAAACATTCTGCTTCTCCAAAATGAGTATGAAACATCATCAGTATTCTGTGGAGGTTCTATCCTCCAGATATGCATTTTATAGACAAGTTATCATATATATCATTCTTAGTCTCATTTCCATCAGTATTTTGTGGAAGTTGTTCTTAACCATGTCCCCCTCCTCCCCCTGAATTTTCTAGATCTTCATTAATTCCTTTGGCACAAAATTATTTCAAATCAAATCATTAAAACTTAATTAATTTAATTATTATAATTTTTTATGTTTGTATTTTTGTTTTTTTAATTGCCATCTTTTTTTTGTTGTTTTTTTTCTGACATCATATCATCTAAACCCCCCCGTCATCATTCGTTTCTATTTCTTTGATGTCGCTAATTAAGATAATTTAAGGCAAATTAAATCTAAAAACTATAAACACTTTTTTTGTATAACTAAAAAATTTAATTAATAGTGGCTTTAAGAATAAAATTCTGTAGCCCAAATAATGTAGAAAAAAATATTTTTTTTAAATCAAAAAAAAAATATATATATATTTTTGAAAAGTCCCATGATTCTTGGGAATGTAGGATACTTTGAAATAAAAACACAGTTGTCTGATAGCTCAAGATTTAAAAAATTATGTAAAAAATAACCCCCTTAAGTTCTTAGCAGATATAAGGCAGCTTTTTAACATTTTTCCCCACCTAGTTATTAACAATAGTTCTTAAAACAATAATTGAAAACCAAACTTCAACAACTCTTACAAATAACCACAATTTTTTCTTTCTCTTTCCATTGTTCCTCTCCAAAAAAATGAAAACTCTGCTACGTTGCTCTTTCAAATGGTTCCCATATGTTTTGAAAATCAAATTTCACAACCATTATCATAACACAGTGGGTTGCCGAAGGTTCACCCACACACTCAACACCAGTACGCATCGATGATCCATTGCAATTTGTGCCAGTTAATACAAATCCCAAGGAATTCAAAAGGGTACAACAACAGGTAAAATCCTCGCAAACTTTATGCAAGATTAGAGCTTTATAACATTTTATCATTCTTCTCCTCTCAGATCAAGGATAATCGTCGTGCCGATAAAATTTCAGCCGGTCCACAATCACACATTTTGGAAGGTGTCACCTGGGATGAGGCCAATCGCCTTAAGGATGCCACTGTCAGTCAAACCGGTGATCATGTTGTGCTAATGGGTGCTGCCTCCAAGGGTATCATACAGCGTGGCTTCCAACACAATGCTACCGTCTATAAGGCACCATATGCCAAGAATCCATTTGACAATGTCACCGATGATGAGTTGAATGAATACAAACGCACGGTGGAACGTAAAAAGAAGAGTATTCATGGTGAATGTAAGTGTAATAGAAATATTCAAAAACTTGCCGAGATATTCAATATAATTTTGAATTAAATTTTTATCCAAACAGATACTGATACAGATTTCTCAGAATCGGAAGCGTTGAGTTCACTGCAAACATCAGGCGCACAACAACAAACTAAACAAAATACCACTACCACAACAACAACTGCCGCTGTTAGTCAATCAGAGCCAGAGGATGTTTCAGGTAATTGTGGAGTTACTTAGAAATTATTTAAACTACTGGGATATTTTTAAATGGTCAAAAGAAACCATTAGAATTCTCTTACGGTTAAAGTCTAACTCTCTGAGATGAAGCTTTATGAACATTAGGTTCGGACCCATTAGAAGTCTTCTTCGGTTAGAGTTCAAGTCTCTGAGATGAAGCTTTATGAACATTACCTTCGGGCCGATTAAAAAACGCTTCAATTTTTTTCAAAAAAATATTCTCCTCAATTTGTGCATAATTTTTTAATTAATACCTATCACATCTACAAATTTCTCTTTGTTGGTGACTTATAGTGGAATTCGTTTTAGAATATTTCTCTCATTGGAAATACACATCCAAACTAAAGCTTTTTAAGTGAATTCTTCTTCAACTGAAGTACACTGCAAAAAATAACCTAAAATTATTTTTCTTTTCAATTTGTTTACTATTATTTTAACGATAAATATTACAGCTATCGATTTCTTTTGTTTGGTGACACATAGTAATATTTGATAAAGTATATATTATTCTTTGGAAGAATACTTCTAAAATGTAGATTTCGTAGAGAGATCGAGTCCAACTTGAAAACCTACAAAAAAAAGGAAAATTATTGGTTGTACAATTTATTTACAATGTTTTATTGATATATATTACGTGTACAGTTTTCTTTTGTTCGATGACATATAGTAAAATTCATAGTAGAATAATTCTTTCATTTTAAGCTCCATTCTAAAATGAAGATTTATGGGAGAAATCGTCCCCACCGCATAAATAACCTAAAAAAAACTTTTTTTTTTTCAATTTTTCTACAATTTTCCTTCGTTATGTATCACTTTTACAGATTTCTTTTGTTCGGTGACATATAATGAAATACGATGTAGAATATTTCTTTCGTTAGAAGCACCTTTCTAAAATGAAGACTTATGGAAGAAATCGACTTCAACTGAAATACTCTATAAACCTTACCTAAAATTACTTTTTAGCAATTTGCTTAAAACTTTTCTTTGATATATATCGCTTCTACAGATTTTTTTTGTTCGGTGACATGTGGTGAAATTCGATGTAGAGTATTTCTTCCAATGAAAGTATTCCTCCAATACGAAGATTTATGGGAGAATTCAGTCCAAACTAAAATACAATCCAGAAAAATTACCCTTTTTTTATAAAAAAATTTGTTTCGATTTTTTTCTTTGTTATGTATTGCTTCTACAGATTTCTTTTGTTCGGTGACATGTTGTGAAATTTGATGTAGAAAATTTCTTTCATTAGAAGCACCTTTCTAAAATGCAGTTTTATGGGAGAAATTGACTTCAATTGAAATACTCTACAAACCTAACCTAAAAATACTTTGTAGCAATTTGACTACAACTTTCCTTTGATATGTATTACTTCCACAGACTTTTTTTGTTCCGTGACCTCTGGTAAAATGTGATGTAGGGTGTTTCTCCCATTGAAAGTATTTCCCTAATACGAACATTTATGGAAGAATTCAGCCCGAACAAAAAACACTCCAGAAAAATAAAAAAAAAACATTTTTGATAATTTGTTTCGAATTTTTTCCTTGATATGTACTACTTCTACCAATTTTTTCTGTTTGATGACATGTAATGAAATTCGATATAGAATATTTCTTCCATTGAACACACTGCTCAAAAGTAAAGCTCTATTGGAGAATTTGGATTCAATTGAAATGCATACATTACAAAATTATATTTTACTCTTTATCACTTTTTGTAATTAATTCTTCTATTTTTCTCTTCTTCCACCTTTCAGAACATCAAGTTATGAGAATAGAAACACAACAAGCCCCAGTTCCCAGTCAGCCCGAAGTAGTTTTGAGCGACGGTAAGTTTCATTCCTCTACCCTTTCTTTGTCTTATTGTCTTACCAAGTCCATTGTCTTTTTAGTTTTCTTAATTGCAATTTCCAAAAAAGAAAGTTTTTATATGTGTTTTTTTTTCGCATTTGTCCAAATTTTTTGAGAAAATTTAATTTAAATTCGTTTCGATTATAAGAAAATAAGTGTGTTTTGTCTGAAATTATTTTGTTTTGTCTTAACAATTTGGCTTATTTTTTGGATTGATATACGTTTATAAAGAAAATTTTGTTTTATAATATTTTTTTATTTTGTTAACATATTTCATTTTTTATTTCTTTTTTATTTTTATTATTATAAATTGTTTTGAAAGACCAAACAACTTCTCTAAATTTAGTTGTTGACAAAAAAAAACGTAAAAAATCGGAAAAATCCTATATTGTAGTGGTTAGAACCGAGCATTTGTTATGCATTTTTGATATGCTTTCGATAACATTTCTTTAGAATTTTCTTTTTTTTATTCAAGGAAAAAGGGATATTTAAGAAAATAATAAAAATATATCACCAAAACCCCCCTCTCTTAGATTATAGAATAATATAAACATGTAATCTTTTGTTTTTGCTATTTTCACCAACAAAAACTATTTCAATGTGCTAACTTTTTTCACAGAGCCTACATGTTGTACGGCGTGTTATATGAGATAATTTCTTAGCCTATATAACAACCAAGAGCAACAAATTTTCTACAACTACTTCTACTACTGCTAATACTCTGCTACCAACTACTACTACTCCTACTACCACTATTAGTGTAATTCTACAGAAATTTCTAAGGCCAAACTTTGTTGTATTACTGTACTGAAAACAAATTCCACTTTTTTTTTAAACTAACAACAATACACACACCACCTGTTACAAAATCTTTTTTATATAAAAGAAATTTAATGCACCACTATTTCAAAACAAATCTTCTAATTTTCCACACCAGAGTACCACCCAAAACAAATTCTTTAGGAAACAGCTGCAGTTTTTAGATTTTTAATTTTTTACCAAGAAAAAAAATTCCAAATTAAAACCATTAAATTTCGTTTTCTTCTTTTTTTAGTTTTGTAGATTTTTTTAAATTAATTTTTATTTGTTGTAAATATTACAAAAAATTAGCTTTATTACCACAAACAAATACCCCAACAACACAAATTAAACAAAATTTTCTAACCCGACGAAATTCGTTCTTGTTTTTTGTTTTGTTTTTTTCCCCTTCAAAAAACAATTCTTGTATTTCCCCTATTTCTTCAAAATTTGCTCTAGCCCGCTCAAAAAAGAAAAAGTGAATTGGTAAAACGGAATTAAAATTAGTTTAGAATGTTTTTGTTTTTCTTTCACAAAAATATCACCCACCATATATGCAGTGTTCACCAGATTGGATATAAAAGTAATCCCCCGTTTAGATTTTAAAAAATTATTTTAACTTACACACACAAACACACAAAGAAAGAATTTCCGAAACACTCTTCGCGAAGATCGTCTAGTAGAGACTGCACAAAACCGAAAGTCTGAAGCATAAATTTTAGAAATTTAGGATAACCCAAAAAGAGAAAAAATCAACTCAACTCAACAGACCTTCAATTTTTCAATTTCCAAATTGGAAAATAAATTCCATTCCTCTACTTCTCCGTTCCTTCGTTCGTCTCAACATCACAATCGTATAACAAGTGAGGTGAGTTTTTATTTTCAAGAACAAAAAAATTCAATCGAGTTCTTCTCTAGTGTGTAGTTTATTCACATCCACACACACCGAAAAAACATTAAAAAATTACATTTATAATTATTTTCAAAACTTCTCTTGCGTTCTTTCAAATTATCCACATATGTATGTATAGCGTGTTTTGTGTCATAATATTTATTTCAATAATTTATTTAAGAAATTCATTTGGTGTTCGCTTTTCACAGGAATCGTGGAATATTTAATTTCGTTTTGCCTCACTTTTATTTTAATTGTTTTGTTAGTTTAAATTGAAATCCTAAACCAGGGGATTTCAGTTAAGATGCCATGATGATATTTTTTAACTGTTATACAAAAATATAAAGTGTTATACTATATTGCGTTAAATAGTAAAGCATGAAGATGATGAGAGCAAATTACTTAGAGAATAACCAATTTGTTTTCAACTTTTTTAGTGAAAAATATCGGATCTACAGATTTCTTCCGGTCACGGACTTGCAATGAAATTTGATATAGAATAGTTTCTTCTTTGGACGCAATCCCCTAAAATTAAGCCTAGTAGTAAAATTCTGCTCATATTGAAATACCCTACAAATTAAAAAAAAAAAATAATTGATTTCCATTTTTAATGATGGATACTATTTCAATACATTTCCCTCTTTTGGTGACTTATAGTGAAATTTTATATAGAATAATTCTCTTGCTAGAAGTTCTCCACAGAAATGTATGTATATTAAATTCTAGGGCTTATATTTGGTTCTAATTGAAATAACCTCAAAAATAACCTAAAATTTATTCATCCCAAATTGTTACCCACTTTTATCTTAATATTAATTGCCTCTAGAAATTTCTTTTGGTCGGTGACTTGTAGTGAAATTTCACAAGGAATATTTCTTCCTTTGACAGGTCCCTTCAAAAGTTAAGATTTAGGGTAGAGATTGGTCTCAATTGAAATTTCCTTAAAAATACCCAAAAAAGATTGATTATAAATTTCGACCCATTTTTATTTTGATATGTATTTAACATACAAATTTCTTTTGGTCGATGACTTGTAGTGAAATTAGATGAAGAATATTTTTTCCTTTGAAAGCACCCCTCTAAAGTTAAGCTTTAGGGGAGAGATTGCTCGCAATTGAATTTACCATCAAAATACCCCAAAAAAAGATTTATTATAAATTGTCACCCATTTTTATTTTGATATGTGTTTAAGCTACAAATTTCTTCTGGTCGGTGGCTTTTAGTAAAATTTCACAAAGAATATTTCTTCCTTTGTAAGCTCCCCTCTAACGTTAAGCTTTAGGGGAGAGATTGGTCTCAATTGAAATTGCCATAAAAATACCCCAAAAAATTTATTATAAATTGTCACCCATTTTTATCTAGATATGTATTTAAGCTACAAATTTCTTCTGGTCGGTGACTTGTAGTGGATTTCGATGAAGAATATTTCTTCCTTTAACAGGTCCCCTCTAATGTTAAGCTTTAGGGGAGAGATTGGTCTCAATTGAAATTAACATAAAAATACCCAAAAATGTTATAATATATTGTCAACCATTTTTATTTTAATGTGTATTTAAGCTACAAATTTCTTCTGGGCGGTGACTTGTAGTGAAATTCGGTGGAGAATATTTCTTCCTTTGAAAGATCCATTCTAAACAGAAGTTTTATGGTTGAAATTGGATTCATTTGACATAATCATGAAAATAACCTTAGAATATTCTTTGCAATTTGTCACCCACATTTATCTTGATATTTATTAAACCTACAGATTACTTCTGGTCTGAGACCTGTATTGGATTTAGATGAAGAATATTTCTTCCTTTGAAAGCTCTCCTCTAAAGTTAGTTCTTTGAGGAGAAATGAGCTTCAACTTAAATAACCATAAAAATAACCTTAAAATCTTTTCATCCCACATATATCTTTATATATATTATCCCTAGATATTTTTTCTGGTCGGTGACTCAAAGTAAAATTGGATGTAGAAGATTTCTTTATTTGAAAGCAATCCCTTAAAACAAAGCTTAATAGGAAAATTTGACTTAATTAACTCAACGTTTAAATAGTTGTATAACAGTTTATCATCAAGGCAAAAAATATGAACATTTTTATATCATGACTGGCTTGTGTTATTTTAAATGTGTCGACTCATTTTTTACATTTTAGTTTATAGGAAAATGCTATCTTCGACCATTATCAAGCTTGTGCGCTCACCAATTGTTTTGTACTAATATCAAAAGAAATGAACTGCTTCCATCGTCTATGTAACAGACCTGCTAGTTTTATCACAGAATTAGTTCCAGGAGAGCATTTTGTAAATAAAAATATGGGCTAAATTTGTGTTGAAATTTTTCAATAGTATGTTTCAATGTTATAGTGTCTCTTTTGTATAGAACCAAGGATAGACATATATTTTTTTCTAACTGCAGCTGCTAAAATGTTTCGAATTACTAACCCCCCTACTTTATTTGCCACATACTGAAAAAAAAAAATACTGAGCACCCACTAACCATCTTCTTTTCATGCCTTGATTTCAATTAACAATATTTTCTTCTTTTTTAATTGTTCTATTATTTTGAAAATTTATATTTATGTTTACGATTTTTTTCTCTCTTGTTTACATTTGTTCTTTTTTATTTTGGATTTTCTACTCTACTCCTGTCTGTTCCCAACGCCTTTACGAAATTAAAAACGATTGTGCTTCGAAAAAAAACTCTGACACCACCAACCTCCTACGTTCAATTTTTATAGCAACTCTAAGTTTTATCAATGGTGAACGTTCCCATACGGCTACAAATCGTAAGCCCCCAACAGGTCGAGGTAATATATTTGTTCTGTTAACAAAATTGACAACAGCAGCAAGTATTTAACCAACAAAACAAAACGCTGCCTAATTATCCACAAAAAATAATATCAGCCGACCTTCACACTTCACCACCAAAAACCCATCCACCTAATATTTTTTCTTTCGCTCTTTCTCTCTCTAACCCCCAAAAATCATGTAAAAGAAAATTAATCAAAAATTCTCAAGTGTACATATATTGTAAATATTAATATATTTTGTATAAACAAGTGGTATGGAAAAAGGTAAATTGTATTGTATATTATTATGTCTTCTCCGAGATCTAAGGGACTCAACATTTTGTAAAAAAATGATTAGTTAAAACCAAAAATTAAGGACAAATCGCTGTTTATACCCTACACCACAAGGTGGTCAGGGTATTATGTCTTTGTGCATTTGTTTGTAACAGGCAGAAGGAAACGAGATAGACCCATAGTTCCTTTTGATGATCTGCATAGAATCACATTCTGAGTCGATTTATGCATGTCCGTCCGTCCGTCTGTCCATGTATTTTTGTAAACAAAGTACAGGTCGCATTTATTGCCCGATCCAGATGAAATTTTGCAAAGATCTTTTGTTTGGCCCAAGGACGAAACCTATTGAAATTGGAGATAATCGGTCAAAATTTAGATATAGCTCCCATATATATCTTCGTCCGATTTGCCTTTTATTGTGCACCAAACGTGTAATATCAGCCCGAATTGTATGGAATTTTGCATATACACCCAAATTAGGCCTGAAAATTTGTGTGTCAAATTTGATCGAAATCGGTTCAGATATAGCTATAGCTCCCATATATATTTTTCATCCGATTTGTTATTTTTGTCCACCGCCGCCGTAATATGCACTCTGTAACAACAATATTTGGGGAAATATATCAAATGCAGCTCAGAAATACCTTTGCTAAATTTTATCGAGATCGGTTCAAATTTGGATATAGCTCCCATATATAACTTCGTCTGATTCGTAGGGTAGCATAAAGTCGGCCTCGCCCGACTTGAAGACTTTCTTTACTGGTTTTAGTTTTTATTTATCGTTTTACCTAAAAGTATGCTTTACATTTTCAATATGTGCCAATCATTGCCATTCATTAACCCAAAATTACGACCTAATATATTTATTAAGTTTTGTGGGAAAATCCGTCTTCAATGAAGAAAATTTGTATGGACTATGTATGTGTATCTTCCATTGGAAGTCTAGCTCGTAAATGGACTTTTGTGGAAGAATTTGAATTCATTTGAATCCACCCTAAAAAAAACAATAAAAATTTATAGCAAAATTATTTTTCGAGTTTTGCCTTGTTAAGGCGAAGATCATATGTTTTATGATTTATTGTTTGTTTTCTCTTTCGAGACGAGCTTAATGATCTGAAATTTGCAGTGAAAAGGAAAGCCAGATAGACACTATCACACACTCACCACTATGCAACGCGTTTCGCCGTTGGTTAAGCGGCTCATCAGGCATATTTGGTGTGGATGATGGCTTACAAGGGCCGTTCTCTGGAAAGTAGTATATATTTCGAACTTATTGCAAATTAGCATATGCGAATTATACACTAGAAACTCTCCAGGTTCGACTCAAGTTCTATTGGCAGATCTTTTTCACAGCAAAGTTTTGTTTATGGATTGATATGGATTAGATCTACGGATTTCTTCTGTTCGGTTACCTATGATAAAATTCGATGGAGAAAATTTCTTCCATTTTAAATAACGTTTTGGAAAGGGAATTTTGGCCTTAGTTCAAATAACCTAAAAATGTAACCCTTAAAATTGACATATCAATTTTGTTTTCGATTTTATTTCAATATGCATTAGACTGACAGTTTTCTTTTATTTGGTGACCTATAATAAAATCCGATCTATAACATTTCTTTCATTGGAAGCAGTCCTCTAAAATAACCTCAAAATGTAACCGCAAATGTATGCATAACAATTAGTTTTCTATTTTTATGATGTAATGTATTAGATCTACAGACTTCTTGTGTTCGATGACCTATAATAAAATTCGATTGAAAACAATTTTTCCATTAGAAGCACCCACCTAAAATAAAGTTTTGAGGTAAAAACTGGCCTTATTTCAGATAACCTCAAAATTTAACCGTAAATGTATGCATAACAATTGTTTTTGTGTTTTTAATATGGGATGTATAAGATCTACACCTTTCTTTTATTTGGTGACCTATAATAAATTTCGATGGCAAACATTTCTTCCATTGGAAGCACCTCCCTAAAATAAGGTTTTGAGATAAAAACTGGCCTTATTTGAAAAAACCTCAAAATTTAACCGTAAATGTATGCATAGCAATTGGTTTTCTATTTTTATTATGGAATATATTAGATCTACGGATTTCTTCTGTTCGGTTACCCATGATAAAATTCGATGGAGAAAATTTCTTCCATTGGAAGCACCCATCTAAAATAAGGTTTTGAGGTAAAAACTGGGCTTATTTGAGATAACCTCAAAATGTAACCCTAAATATATGCATAGCAATTGGTTTTCTATTTTTATTTTGTAATTTATAAGATCTACGGATTTCTTCTGTTCAATGACCTACAATGAAATCTGATGTGGAACATTTCTTCCATTGGAAGCACTCCCCTAAAATAAAGTTTTGAGGTAAAAACTGACCTTATTTGAAATAACCTCAAAATTTAACAGCAAATGTATGCATAGCAATTACTTTTCTATTATTATTTTGTAATGTATTACATCTACAATTTTCTTTTATTTGGTGACCTATAATGAAACTCGATGTAGAACTTTCCTTCCATTGAAAGCAACCCTATAAAATAAGGTTTGGAGGTAAAAACGGGACTAATTTGAAATAACCTTCAATTTTTAACCGTAAATGTATGCGTATCAATTGGTTTTCTATTTTTTTATGAAATGTATTAGACATACAGATTTCTTCCGTTCGGTGACCTATTATGAAATTCGATGGAAAACATTTCTTCCATTGGAAGCATCCTCCTAAAATAATGTTGTATGGGTTAAATACACTTCCGTCCAAATCACCTCAAAATTACTTATCTTTCTCTCTCTTCAACTTTTGTATATAATGTATATATTATATATTAAATTATCCAAAATTTTCAATATACTCCTGTCATTTTGACCATAATTTGAAACCATTACTAATAACATTTTTCATTTTGTAGATAATGTAATCGCAAATAATTCAAGAATTGTTCAAGATCCAATTTGTCACATTCAAGATACCATAGATTTAACAGCAAGTCAAAGCATAGCAATAACAACAACAACAACATCTTCATCTTCCGATCATTCGAGGGACAGTGATGAAAGAAAATTTCAAAATCTTTTCATGAAGAACAAAAATATCACTACTCCTGGGCAGCATCATCGACATGCTTTCGATACTAACTCTAATAATTCACATTCCAATACAACAACTTTATTTCATGAAATGCAAACAGATGTCTTGTTTAATAGGCAAAAACGAAAACAAGAAATCAATCACAACAATACACCCATTGCAAAAAGACATTCCCCGGGATATTCTGATAGAATTTCCCCACACAAAATTCCCCCACATAGAAGAAGTCCCTTTACAGAAGCACCCACCCAACCCCAAAGTACTGTAAATAATTCAAGTGACAATGCGTTTTCTTTATATTCTATTAAAACTAATGAAACTAGATTCGATTCTCCAAGTTATGATTATCCAAATTTGGAAAACACTTCCAATATCTATGACTACACAAATGATGTGGAAGAAGATTTTCAAAAGGGAAGTATTTTCACCCTGAAAAGAAGTACGTTTCTTATATCTCCCAAATGTAGTAGCCCCAAAATATGTAAACCAATTTTAGAATCTCTAGACAAACCATCCAATTTGCAAGAGCATTATGTCAATGCCCATAGTCCATTGGACTTAATATGGAATATTCCAATACGTAGACATTATAGCCCCTGTCCTACACCTGAATTGGCAAATACGCCACGAAAAGAGAAGAAGGGTTTTAAAAACTCTCCTTCGCGTCAACCACGTTCACCATATCGTACCCTATCACATTTTGGTTTCAATTCACCACAACGTCAGCCACAACCCGAACACAAGCATGTCCCTCCTCCGGCCGCCAAAAAATACAAACCATTAAGACGTTCAATATCCTACGAAGAGATATTCTCATCGGTACGCTACATAGATTTGTGTGAGCATTGTTTTGAACAGATTGTTCGTTATAAACCGGAGCTTATGCATTATCGAATAAAACTTAGGAATTTGAGGGAGTTCTACCAAGGAGGAGGAGAGGACGGCGAGAAGGAAAAAGAAGAAACATTTAATTTGAATTCCAATGAAAATGAAGATTTTTCTGTATTTGCTACACCCTTGGCACCTTTGATAGAAGTGGAGGAAAGGGATAGCTCCGAAAGTCATAGGTCTGCAAAGTCCTCCAGCTCCCCAACTGCTCCGCATTCATCATTTCTGGAGAAGATCACACGCATGAATTATTCAGAAATTTCCAGTCAGACAACAACACCTCATTTTCAAATGGCCATCCATCAAACTTTGGAGCAAGAATTTCAAAATTTAAAGATTGAAGAGGAAGCCGTAGAAAAAAGGGATGAAAATGATAATCAAACTAGGATTTCCATAATGGAAATTTTGGATTTTAATAATTTCCTTGGAAATTTGGATGGAAATGAAAATCCAAGCGAAGATAATCTCCCTCAAGAATTGTCATCGTCGTTCTTCACAAGAAATTGTTCTGAAGACCATTCCCGCCGCAAATTGATGTTTGAAGAAGAACAATGGCAGGAGCATCATCAGGTGGATGATACCGAAAATCCCGGAGAGATTTTATCTCATATTTCAGCTGGTAATGGGGCAGGAGATCTCGAAGAAGAAAACCCCAACGAGTTGAATGCTGAAGACCATAATCCACGAGATTTTGAAAATGCTCAACAGATTTTACCTCACAATCCAAACGGTAATTGTGGGATCCTAGGAGGAGGGGATAATGCTCAACAGATTTTACCTCACAATCCAAACGGTAATTGTGGGATCCTAGGAGGAGGGGATAATAAGGATGTTAATCTCCCTCATAGCTCATCATCCTCCAGCACCCCACGTTCTCTGATGGATCGCGAGGAGCGTTTACGGCGTAAGTTAATATTCCAGGAGCTATGGGGTGAAGATCATGTTGATTATTTTGGCAATCTTGAAGAGGGGGCTTCCACTTTATCCGACAATAATGGCGCCCAAGTGGGTGATGTAAGAGATCAAGAAAAATGGTCCTCCCCACGATCTTTGATGGATCGCGAAGAACGCACCCGACGTAAGCTAATATTTCAGGAACTTTGGGAGGATCATGTGGAATATTTTGGAAATCGTGAAGAGCTTTTGAACGCCACTGCAGCTACCTACTCTGGTAACAGTGGTGGCCAAGGCGGTGGTTTTAGTGATACCGAATCGGCCATTGATGAGACCAACAACAATACACAAAGAAGCAGCCTTCCAAATTCCAATGAAAATCCCCAAGAAGAAATGTTTCTCACACAGAGTAGAGTTATAAGCCCTAAAACATTAGGAGGTCCCAGGGATAATGATGCGCTTGGAAATGTTTTGACAAATCAAGAGTTAAATGAGAAATATGATGAGGAGAAGCACAGGGATGATGATATTCTTTCTTCCTGTTCGAAATTAACCTATGACATAAGTGATGGTCACTCCTCTTCTTCGGAGGAGAATATTTTACAAAGGTCCTTTGGCCAAACCAATTTTTTGAGAGACAAGCAAAATTCCACTCGGAAAGAGGAAGACATAGAAGAAGGTAGTGCAAAGGATTTTAATTCCTCTCCAAGACAAGACGGCTTTCAAGAAAATTTCGTTGCTGAAAATACAAAATTTAATGCAAATTTAGATGGAAACCCAGAAATTCTTTCTAACCTCAAAAAATCGAAAATTTTTATAAATGACCAAAATGCTGAAGCTGCATTAGATGTGGAAGCTCCGAAAAGTATGCAATATACATCTAAAGAGGCAAATAAACAAAATGTATCTGAAACTAATTTACTCCAAGAGGCAAAACTTGTTGGGAAACAAATGACATTTCATAACTCGAATGAATCTCATGACATTATTGAAAATATTACTGGCCCTGCAACTACTCCATGTGATAATTCAAAATTTTATGAATTTCTTGATGAAAATTTGGGGAACACAAATGTTGTAAACCTAACCTCACAAATTACATTTCCCAAATCCAATGAATCGAGTGACATTAGGGAAGAAGAATTGAATGACAATGGAGCTAAGAGATGTAATAACTCGAAATTTGATGAAAGTGTACCACCCAAGAGTTTCGTCCTTGAGAAAAATGAAAATCCTAACCTCAAAACCCAAAATATCTCAGCTGGCAAAGAAAAAGTACAAATTCAAGAAGTTGTGATTATAAGGCCAAATCATGATGCTTTCAAAAAACTTGAGGCTATTGAGGGCCAAGATCTTGCTAATCTTGATCTTGATTCTCAACATAACCTCACTTCCTTTTACCAGGAATTTCCAGTAAACGAAGAGGTTTTCATTGGGGAAACATGTGAGACACTTGAAAACAAAAATCTTTGTGAAAATTTAGATATTTTGAAAGAAGCTCCACCTAACCTCAAAAATTTGCAAAATTCTTGTTTCCCTTCTACATCTCAAAATCAAGAGGGACATATAGAAACACAAACACAAGCATTGGTCCGCTATAAATCTGGACTTTTGAATACCTTGGTAATTGAAAATGATACTTCCAACACCGAAAATCCATCCCCTGGCTCTGACGAAGATTTTAAGGATATTCTCAGAAGAATTGAAAATTTACAAAACAAGGATAGATTTTCTAAAGACAAAGAAGAGGGAGGACAGGACAATGTTGCTGCTGCTGGAAACACTCAACTAGAATCCAGCTCAAGGCTAACAAATTTTGAATTTCCCCAAGGAAATCTCCCAGCTGAGGGCGATAACAAGGAAAATTGCTGCGAAGAAACTGAACTCTCTTCCATGGAAGTGGAAATTTTAAAGAAAATCGAAGAACATCAATTGAAAAAGAGTGAAGAAATTTTCAATAAAATTGAAAATAGTATACGAAACAAATTGACACCCAGCAAACTGGAAATGCTTATCAAAGAGCAATGGTTAAGTTTGTATAATCAGGATGAAAAGACGGCTTCTCCCTGTCGCAACATTTTGCCAGAAATTGCACCAACAATATTTTCCACACCCCAAACGGGTGGCCAATTATCATCAAGACGTTCACGATCCTTGACACCGCTCAGTGAAAATACAATTCCCCCGAAACAAAAATTAAATAAAACCACCACACCTCTAGGCGACATGGAGGGAAGAAATTCCTTACACCTGACAGATGACAACACCCCACAACAGCATAAACTAACTCCCTGTTCAAGTTCTTCTTCCTCCCTGAAATCTTTTAAATCGTCCAGCTCCAAAACTCGCAATTTTATTTTGGAAAACATACGCAATGTCAGCAAGCCAAGATGTGGTGGCACCATCGCATCCAATCAAGTTAAACGTTTACAGGGCAATAGTCAGGCCATATTTGGTCGTAATCCATTTGGCCCTAGGCCTTCTTCATCTTCCTCACTGAAATCTCCACGAAAAAACGCTACTCCTCTAGCCAAAACTCCCTCCTCACCGGTTTACTGTAACTCCACCAATGTCTATTCGTTTCAATCGAAATTGGTCAGAGGTTCTCCACGTTTTTGGGTTAGTTTAACCCCCCCACCCCTGAGTTCCGAAAGGAGACGTTCAATCAACAAAACTCCCAGGACTTCCAAGAAAACGCAACCGAAAAAACATTTGCCAAAGGAAAAAACTTTATCATCTTCATCTACCCCTCCAACCACCACATCGTCATCAAGTTTCACTTCCCATGTTGATGCCGAAATTAATGCCTTGGGCCAACAGATCCAACAAATCCATCCTCGTCTGGAGAATTATAAACGCAAGTTGGATGATTTTGGGGATCGTGTGGCCAAATGTGCCCGCAACATGGATGAGTGTATCAGTGCCCAGGAGGAGATTGTGTGTGATCATGCAGAATTTAAGGAGGCTATGACAATGCAACAATATGTCGATGAGATTATTTGTCGCGTCGATACATTTTCACTATCCGAAACGGAAGATTAAGAAGGAGGGGACAAGTGTGGGAGGGAACCTTTAAAAAACTAACCAAAAAAATAAATTTTTTTGTAAAAAATTAAATAATTTTTGGAAAAATTAAATTTTTATATTGAAAATATTTTTTTTATAAAAAAATAATAAAAAGTAATTTTTTTATAAAAAAAATATTTTTTATGAAAAAAGTAATTTTTTCTAACAAAAAATTAAAAAAAAATTATATTAAAAAATCTCAATTTAAAAAATCGATTTTTTAAATACAATTTTATAAAGAGATATAAATTTAAAAATAGTTTTATAATTTTTTTTAAATAGTTTTTATTAAAAAAAATTATAAAAAATATGAAAATTTTTTTTATAAAAAAATATTTTTTATAATAAAAACTATTAAAAAATTATAAAAAATGTTTTTTGTAAAAAAAATTATGAAAAATATTTTTTTTTATAAAAAAAATTATACATTTTTTTCATAAAAAGGTTAAAATTTTTTTTTATAAAAAAAATAAAAAAATATTTTCCATAAAAAATTATAAAAAATATGTTATAAAAATTACAAAAAATTATTTTTTATAAAAAATACTTTTTGTAATAAAAACCTTTTAAAAAAATATAAAACTATTTTTAAAATATCTATTTTTATAAAAAAATAATTTTTTGTAACTTTTTTTAAAACATTTTTTTATAATTTTTTATTAAATGTATTTTTTACAAAAAGAAAAAATTGTAAAAAATATTTTTTAATAAAAAAATATTTATAAAATATTATAGAAAGTATTTTTTTATAAAAAAATATTTTTTGTAATAAAAACTATTTAAAGAATAAATATGAAACTATTTTTAAATTTAAATCTCTTTATAAGGAATTAATTGTATTTCCTATTTTTTTATATTTAAAAATATTTTTTATAATAAATATATATAAAAAAATATAAAAAATATTTTTAATAAAAAAAATTATAAAAAGTATTTTTTATAAAAAATTACAAAAAATTATTATTTTTTATAAAAAAAAAATATTAATATTAATAATATAACAAACTTTTTAGAAAAAATTATAAAACTATTTTTAAATTTAAATCTCTTTATAAGAAATTAATTGTACTTAAAATAATCAATTTTTTTTTTTGTAAAAATTGAAATTTTAAATGTAAAAATTTTTAGTTTTTTTATGAAACTTTCCATATTTTTCCCTAATGAACGAAAAATTGATGTTTTTTTAAATGTTAATTTGTTCTAAGGAAATTTCCGGTTTTTAAGGAAAAATAGCTGCGAAATATGTATAAAATATTGTTTTTTATTCGTTTTTTTTAGAGCATTTATTTTTTAAAAATAAATGTTAATTTTTTTATATAGATTTTTTTAAAGCCAAGGGATTCTTATTTCATTAATTAATTTTCCTTTTTAGTTCGGAAAATGACCATACTTCACTAAATTTGTTTTATATCTAAAAGGAAACGCATTGAATTGTTTTACAGTACCTATTATCTCCTCCCCTGGATTCCCAATCTAGATAAGAACCAACACCATTCTAATCTAAAACGAAAACTTCTCCACATTACATTTTCAATTACTTTTTTCAAAACCTTCACACCTTAACTCCCCGACATGTTCAACAAAAATTCCCCTCCATTTTGAATTTTATTTAAACTTATATCTTCTTTAAATTGAATTAAAAACTATATACCACAAAATTTCACATTTCCCCCTTTTTTCATTAATGTATATTTTTCTGCATAAAACAATGAAATAAAAATATATTAACAACAACAAAAAATGGTTATGGTTTTATATATTTTAATGTTAATTTAATTTTTATGTATTATTTTTTATATTTGTTTTCATTTTTTATGTAAAAAATTTTGAATATTGCTTTTTTATGTTTCTTGTGCTTTTTATGTTATTCTCATGTCATTTTATTAATATTTGGTTTGCGTTTTTTTATTTTAACTGCTTTGAATTTTGAACTGAGTATATGTAGATCACAATATGTTTGCGAATTTAATTTGAAAATAAATTGAAGTATATTTTTTTATAAAAAATTTTGTGTTTTTTTAATGTTTTATGTAGTTGATATGTTTATAAGAATTGCTATAAGTTTAAAACAAATAATATTTTTTATAAAAAATAAAAAAAAATTGATTAAAAAAACTTTTACTGTTAAATTGACTTTTTATAAAAAAAAATTATATCATAAAAAAAAGGTTTATATAGCAAATTTTTTTTACAAAATAAATTTGTGATATAAGAAATTATAATTTCTTTTTATTAAAATAATTAGATATAGAAAATATATAGGGAGCCATGTACAGGATGAGATAAAACAAACTGCAACAAAGTCAAACGCCATAATTTTTACATTTTTTTTTTAAATTTTATTGAATGAAAGACAAAAATTTCGGAAATAGCATCAAATTTTAGAATAAGTTCAAATTTGTTCGAATTCGTCACCTTTGCCACGAACTATGACCTTCAAACGACCAATGGAATCGTCACACGTTGTCTGAAGTTGGTTGCAGTTTTTTTTATCTCATCCCGTAATTAGTTTTAAGTTTTAAAAATTAAAAAGAAAAAATGAAAAAATATTATTTTTGAGTCCTGAAACCCATAACATAGGCCGTAAATTGGGGGAATTTTAAAATCAAAGATTATATAACAAAATGTTTAAATTATTGTAATTTTATTATTTTAATTTATTGACTACTTTTTTAGTGGTTCTCTTTGGAAGATCCTTGTCTTATATCAGTAAAAGTATTTAATAATATTAAATGTATGTATATTTTAGTATAGCTGTAGCTGTCCACGTGCCATTGTCCTCGTCGTAGAATATTTGTATGGCCAGGTCACCAACCACACACACACATATGTTCTATTTTTATTTTTTTCCATTTGTTTTCTTTTACAAATCATCATCAGAAGAAGACTGTGAATTGTATTCACCACTTTTTCACCCTCATCATCATTATCCTGATCATCATACACATTTTCCATTACCACAACAAGAACGACATAACATCCCTGATTTAGTTTCATATCCTTTGATACAAAAACTCTTGAAAAATTATGAAAATTCTCAAAAATTACAAACCATTGCCAAAAAATATCAATTCCTATACCAAGAGCCATGGCCGGTGGAAAGTATGTTGTTATCAAGTTACGACTTGTATATGATACATAAAATCGAAATATATCCTCACTATACATATCCAGCACCAGCAAAACCATCATCAAAACTGGTATTAACGTCTGATTCGGCAAATGGAAATCATCATCGTCAGGTTTTGGCAAAAACCCATGAAGAATTCCAACAAAATTTACCATCTCTTGATTTGTCATCCTCTGAGGTAATGGATTCAAATTTCCCACCCTATCGCACTGTATCCCATTATGGTTTCAATTACCCCTCCACCTATAAACCAAATGTCAATTTACATCCAGCCTGTTCGGCCACACCGGTGGATATACAAAGGCAAAAGGTGATTGCCTTTATAAAACGTTTAAATATGGAAGCTGCAGCGGCGGCGGCTGCTGCCGCCTCCTCCTCATCCTCCTCGTTAATGGAAAAATCAAAACGTAATTCAAAACAAACGGGAAAAGAAGATCACATTTATGAAAATACCAAAAAGCTGGAGAGCAGTGGAGAATCGTTTATATCCATCAAGGAGATTCAGTTGAATAACAAACAGCAGCAGCGTAAAACTCGACACATTTCAAGTTCTTCTTCGGGCCAGGGGAAATCATCATCCCAAGTACCGCACCATCATCATCACCCTCATCACCAAATCGATTTGTTGTCTGAACAATTTTCCTCTTTGCTTTCCATAAGTGGCAGCTATCCGGCAGCTACCAGTCATTCAGCACACACCACCACCGGTGGTGACCAGGATCATTATCATTTCAATACCGATTCGGCAGATAATTGTTCAAATTGTGATGAGGGTGGTGGACACAAGGCTTGTTCCGACAATCTTTATCGCTCCTATGTACAGCGTAATTTTGTACCCAATCAACCGGATTCGGATAATTTCAATGATGATCATGATCCCCACAAACCGGAATGTGAACAACAATCGGCAGGAATAGCAGCAGCTGCTGTCGGGGGAGGTGGAAAAGCAACGGGAACTTCCTCAAAACCCAAAGAGAAAATAATTTATTCCTCCACACAATCACTGCACTCCAGCAGTGATAATCGCCACGTCACCTTGACATTGAATTCCCTGAAACGTCGGGCCTCCTCTCTCAATGAACGCAAAGAGAAGACTCGAAATCGTAATGAAAACTCATCATCATATTCTCAAAACCAACATCATCAATTCCACACCACCTCCTCTTCGCCCGAGGACAGCAACAATTCCACAGCCATTGAAATGCACATAAACATTAATATACGCAACAGCGATTGCATCAAGAATCTGCAAAATCGTGAACAAGAATTCAAACTAAAACTGGAAGAGGTAATTGACAATGAAATCAGTTTGATAACCCAAGAATTGGAAAATCATGAAATCAATTCGTCCAACAACCAACCACGGAGATCATTATCGGCTCCGGATGGCCTATATGGTGGCAACCACATGGGAAATGCGGCCGACAAATCAGCCTGCATTGAGGCCGATCGCCATTATAACTATGATGACAATGAAGAGATAACATCCATTGCCTCTTCCCTCCCAACCCCCTTGCCACCGGCTGGGGTGGCGGCAAATCATGAAATTACTAGGGAAATTGAAACGTCCATGTTACCCACATTACGTTATCATAAATTACTGGTGCTACTCGAACATGAACTGGAAATGTTGCTCAATGGCATTATACGCAACATGTGTGATTGTAAGACGAAAATATCTCAAATATCTGAGGATATACGAACGGCCACCTTGCATGTGGGTCCTTTGAGTGCGCCTGGTGTCCGTCGCCAAAAGGAAAGACGAGAAACGGCAAGATCGACAACAGCAGCAGCATCATCGGTTGGAGATGGATGGCTGTGAGGAAAGAGACCTCTAGCAAAAAAGAGGCGAACAACGGC